GCATCAGCCGTGTAGCTGTCGAAGTCTGCTAACAGTGTAAACGATGTAATGTTACGGTGGTTGTATATGTTCGTGTGTGTGGGTTGTATTTTGCATTCGTCAGCATATTTCGCAGGCTAATGCGAATCCTGTGGCACGAATAGCGCACAGCTGTGCCGAATGCCGGATATAATCTGCATTACGTAGTTTCATACATTAGCTTAGTCTCGATCCACAGAGTGAAGAAAGTAACTCACGCATTGATCTTTCTCCACGCATTCGACGTTTCTTCTCACAGCGTGGTCATAAGTAGCGCAGTTTTACAGTAGCGCAGCAGGAATTTAAAAATTCATTAAGTGACACTCAACGGCAAAACGTGTCGGCAACTATCAGACATTGTCTGTAAAGTCGAGCAGTTGCAAAAAGCCTGATAAATAGCATATTTGCCTTAACGTTGTATTTCCACAATATGATATCTTCTGAGGCAGTTTGTGCTGCATTGGTTTCCTATATCATATATGACGACAGATATTAAGTAGTCAAAAGTCAATTAGTGTCAGTCTCATTATCTTTATCAGAGCCTATACTGGGATAATATAGCTGAGAGCTTTTCCATTGAATTACCGACGAAAATCTACATGTAAAAGACCATTTCTGAATATAAAACGGCGAGCAATTTTCTATAAGACGATACACCACATTGTGTATAATTAAACCGCATTTCTAAATTTCATACCGACACCGTATCATCTCGACGGTGGGATGATTTGGCGATGACAGATCGTCTGATTCCATGGTTAGTTGTATGAAAAACTTCTATTTACAAGTATTCCGGCGTTCCGATTGAACTGACGCCGGTCATTTAAGTAGACCGAATTCCTTCGGTAAAAAGATAAAAGAAATTTTTTATGAAAGACTTTAAAACAAGATTCAGTCAACTTAAAACTCCATTTAACTTTGTTTTCTGCTTAAAATCAAGCATATCTATGAGACCTACCGTTTCCCGTAACAGCTGTATTCCTACTTTTCTGCCTAATTTAGTTCAGGCTGTTCTTACAAGCCATAATGATTCCTTAAACTAGCGTTATAGCGTTCATAGAATTCTTGGGATTTCGTCAAGTTGCATGCCTTTTAGTTCAACAATAAGTTTCCTGATAATCATCGATGCAAATTCGAAACGCGCAAAAAACCGATTAACTTAACAACTAAACAGGTTTATTAAATATTTCAGAACAATTTTTTTTGTGCCTGGTGCCAGGCCAATTTTGTGATAGAACAATATCTGGTCAATGAACCAAAAATGTAGATTCAATTTACAGCAGCATTTTTGCGAAAAAATGTTTCGATATACGTTGCGTCCTTTAGGATCCGTGGCGTCGTGGCCTTCCCTACGCAAGAAGCCGGCTTCGAACTTGAGTGCTAACTCAGCGAAATTAGACTGCTTCTGCGGAAATATTTTATTTTTATAACGCATTCTCTTGAGCAACGAATTTACCATCAGTACTCGGACGGTAGGACGTCAGACTCAGAAGCGAGACGTCCTGGGCTGAGATCCTGTCAGGATCACTCGCCTTTCTTTTCTGAGGTTGAAAAATGGGTACCACTCGGATTAATAAGTGAAGAACACGGGAGAAGACTGACGTCGCAGAAATAGACGTAAGCACCGCCACCATTAACTTCATGGAAACAAGGGTGCTAGAAACGGCTTGTTCATGCAAGTGTAACGAAGACTTACATTCGAACTATTACAAACTTCCTTTTCCATTCATTTTAGGATCCAATCATGTCGTAAATGCAATAATTGTTCCTGAATCTGAACAAGGCTGAGTTTACAAAAGATACGCTGCATTCGTTTAAGGATTTTACAACGATTGTTGTAGAGACCGCAACAAGGTAACAACCAGAGTGCCAAAAAGTAAAATAAAGCTGCTTGATGTTCAAAACGAAAATCTAACTACCGAAAGAAACATTTTGGGAATTGAATCTGAATTGCAACTGAAGTAATCAAAGCAAGACAATCTGAAAGAAAAACTTTGATAGTTCAGAGCGGACAAAGACTCAGGCACGGAATATCAAGTCATATATCGTGAAAATATTCTCTATTCTTCGCCACCCTGACCCGCTGGAGCAGGAGCTGGTTGCGAAGGACCTTTACTGTCATCAGATTTCTTTTTCATACCACTCACGATATCGTCGATTCGAAGTAACAGGATGGCACTCTGAAATTCAGTAAGAAAAAGCTCTTATCCTGAAGATCGATTTATATGGTTAGAAATTCATTGGATTACCTCGATCGCTGTTTTGTACACCTGAATCTTGACGCTTAGCGGATCCCAGATGTTCAGTTCACGCATATCAGCAAGATTTCCGGTGTCACCGTCAATTCCCCACATTCTGTTTCCGGGCTGAGCATGTTTCGCCTAAAACAACAATACGAAAAGTTATTAATCTTACAAAGACAAAAAGGGAGAATGAAACATCACAACAATGATAGGGAGACGCAAGGCTAATTCTTCAAATTTAATTTAAATAATATTTCCCTGCGCAATAAATTCAACTCAGCCTTTTCGGTGCAAGCCATGAACAACAGTTCGAAAATTCTGGAATATGGCGGCACTCGGTATCCAATCAGGATTAACATATTTTAGAGTTATCCTCAACTAAGACCATGAACTGAATATCGTGGCTTCTAAATTAACGGTCTGTGCGGACAAAAATAATGATTTCTGTTTAACATTTTGTACCGATGCATGAATGAAAACACGCATTCTCAGAAAAATCAGTTTGGCGTTCGTTTTGCGCATAGCAAACAATGACCAGAGTGCGAAAAAACGGACCAGTAGATGGTATTCACCCTAACAATCAGAGTACCCTAAAGAGCTTGCTAAATGGAGATCGCCTCTACAACGATAAGCTATGAAGCAATGATAGCTGAGTGCTCACATGCATCCTCATGGTTTCAAAATAAATTTGAATTATTAGCCTGTGCGTTTACAATCCCAGAGAGACAACAGGAGGCGAACGGAAACGTTTCTTTAAAAATTGAGACCAAACATTTGGCACAAAACTAGTATGTTGTTCTTAAGTAAGGAAGTGCTTGATGGCCCTTCATGCACTGAGCCAAATTATTTGGGGATGATTCTGTTAATGACTGAATCTATCATCACCGGATCGAACAGACTAGATTTACTGCAAGAGACAGCAAACGATCCATAGGAATACCTCCAGATCTACGGAAGAATGGGCGACAGAAGATGGATGAGAATTGCAGAAAGCGAAGTTTACAGCAAAGTCTTGATGAGGGCTTCATCTAGCAGTGGATAAAAAAGGCTGTGGATGATCAAAATTGCGGTTTTGACCTTGTCCTCACCAAACTGAGCATATGTAGGAGTAAACAGCCTTGCAAAAAACGCAGTAACAATCGCGATAACGAATTTACCCTCAGAGCAGTCAACTGACGAACAACACTGCTGCCACAGTTCTGAATCAACGTGCGCGGGATCACCTCCAACGCTTGTGCGATAGCCCTGTACGGCCACTGTCGGATTCCTTCGATGCTCTTTGATTTTTCGGTAAGTATCTACAAAGAATGAAGAAAAAGATCACGGAACCGCAACAAAAAAAGATGGCCAAAAATCACAAATTCAGTACAAACTAGACTTGTGTCAGCACGCACATACCTGTGCCAAAGACATTTCAGTGGCGCCACCGCCGGGTAGAATTTTTGACTCTATCATGACGTTTCGGACAACATTCAAAGCATCGTTAAAGTTTCTATTCATTTCTTTCAAAATGTCCTTGCTAGCCCCTCTCAAAACAATCGTACATGCTTTCGGGTTCTTATCGTTCGTGATGAAACAGTAGTATCTGCAGTAATGAAGGACAATCATTAATAACAAAATCAAAACGAAGTAGTAACGTTATTTACTCATCGCCAATCTTCTCCACCTTGAACAGAGAAGCCAACGTGCCAACATCACTTTCCCGGAGTTCCAACGGGTCGCTGACGATCTGTGCACCGCAAACTCTAAAGAAGTACGCTGTACTTTAATAACGGAACAGTTTGGACACACATTTTATGTTACTAGAAACCTCACTTTTAAATCTAAATTTTACCTTCATTGCATATACGCCAAAATGTGTACAACTCACCGTGCTAAACGATCGTTGTCCGTCTTCTTTAAGCGTCTGATAGCCGTGATGTTCGCTTTCATCAAATAGTGCTGAGCGAGATCGGAAATACCCTTTTCAGTAAAAACGATGTCCACTTTCAAAGCAATAATTGCATTGCACATTCTCTCGATTTCTTCTTCTTCAAGCTGCAGAATGCGAGTGTAGTTTTCTTCTTTTGTCACGTCGAATTGAGTCTAAACAAGAGTATAACTTTATAACGTAAACGTGAAACTAACGAAAGAAAAAAACTTTGTAACCGCTGCGACATTAGTGTCTTTTACAGTTCCATGGTTAAGGATCGTCTCTGGCATTTCCTTAATGGAGTTTGTGGTCTGCCACTAATCTCCACTATTGTCTCATCAGGCAGAAATGTCCTTTTGTTAACGATACATGAACAGCAAGACAAGCATATAGGGTGAATTTTCCCGTGTTCTTGCCATAAAACACTATTCACTAATTCACCTATTAAGGATGCTAACCGAGTTGCTAGACAGGGGCTAAATTTAGCGGCTGAAAAAACGTCGTAA